CCAACAAATTCACTGAGCAAAAAGACTCATTCAGGATATACCAATCATCCTTATTGCCAAATTGTTAAGATAAAAAAGAAATTGAGACCCAAAGGCACATGCTAATCCTTAAATATAGAATTAGCCTTTTACTACTGAGCAAAACAAACAAACAAACAAACAAAACCCCTGAATACATGCAGATAATAAGTGGCTACAAAGTTATGGTGAATGTATTCTCTATTTATATGGAATTAAAGATACAGTCCTTTTTTAGTAAATAGTCAACTGTTTATTTGCATTAGTAGCTATGTTGCACTTATCTGGTGTCCTGTTTTTCACAATTTCTTATCAGGCTAACTCTGATTTTATAATTCTTTGTCAATGCCTCCTGCAGTTACCCCCGTATATTCTGTCTAGCACACATGATTAGTCACATCCTTCAGTGTGCCTCAGGAAGGTTAGATTAAGTTCACTCTCCTGAAATCTCTCCTAGTCTGTCCAAGTCCCATCTGCAGTTTGGAGCCACCTGGTAGTTGCCTGATCAGGTTTAAATACTACTAGGGATGATTCTGAGTCTTGGTGTCTGACATGAACAACCAAGACAGCAGCAACCATTCTAGGGATTTCCTAGTTAGCATTCAGTTTTTTGGCCTGATTATGGATAGATTGGCTGGGAAAGTCCTGGTGATTCAGGGATTCTCCCTGCACATGCCATGTAGAAGGGAAGAACATTAGCCTACCCCCATGTGTGATCTAAAGCTGGGGAGAGGATGAAAGCCAATTGTTAATTGCATTAAATAATGTCAGGTTCCTATGGGGTTTTACTGTACCTGGATGCAGAATTACTATGTTTTAGAGAAAGCACGCCTTCAACTTTATAAAGTATTGCCAAATTGCTCTCCCAAATAGTTATACCAATTTACACTCCCACCTATAATGTATGAGTTCTTACTTTCACATATTCTTGGCAACATCTGGTGTTTGCAGACTTTATTTTTACCAATCTGATGAGTGTGAAGTAGTGTCTCATTTTGGCTTTAATTTGCATTTCTCTACTATGGAGCATCTTTTCATGTGTTCATTGGTCATTTGAGTTTTCTCTTCTGTGAATTGATTGTTCATATCTTTTGCCTTAAAAAAAAACTGGCTACCCTTTTTGATATATGAGTACTTTCCTAACTTCTTGATTGGTTTTGTATATTGCAAATATGTTCTCCTAGTCCATGACATTATTTTTGTCATGAAGTCTTTTTGCATAAAGAACTTTTATGTGCTCAAATATATCAGTCTGTGCCTTGATAGCATGTACTTCCATGTCTTAAGTATTTCCCTATCCTGATATAAGTGTCTCCTATAATTTCTTCTAAAAATTTTAAAATTTTTCTTTTCATATTTAAATATTTGATCTATCTACAGTTTATTTTTTATATATAGTATGAAATAAAAATGCAATTTTATTTTTTTCATATAAATAACCAATTGTCCTAGTACCATTTGTTGAATATAGTCCATCTTTTCCTCATTGAGTTGTAATGTGACTTTATTCTTGCCTTTTGTTTTTCTGTATTAATTTTAGGATCACCTTCCCAAGTTCCATGAAAAAGCCTTTGAGGAATTTGATTGGAATTGCAGTGCACTTACAGATTAATTGCAGTGCACTTATAGATTAGAGAATAATTGCCATCTTTATAAATTGATTCTTACTATACATTAAAAATGATATCTTCTTCCTTTTAGGTCTTCTCTTTAATACATGTTTTCAATTTTAATTTTTTCTATAAAGCTCTTGTATATCTTTTTTAAAAGATTTAGTTTTTGTTGCTGTTACAAATTGGATCTTTTTAAAATTAAAATTGTAAATTGAATTTGCTTGTGTAGCAACACTAAATTTTGAACAAGAGAACCTTATATCAGCAATGTAAGAAGAGATGTGGTCAAAGAATATTGTATGTATGGTTCAGATTTCTAATATCTGTTGAAATCTGTACTAAGGCTTAGTACCTAGCCAATTTTACAAAGTTTCCATGTGGTTTTGAAAATATTTTTCCCTTTAATTTGTGCAGTATTTGTATATGTCCATTAGATCAAGCTTGTTATTGATTGTTCAAGTCATCTATTTTATTAAATGTTTTCTACTTATTCTGTCAATTAGTATGGTTGTAGATTTGTTTATTTCTTTTAGTAATCCTGTGATCTTTTGCATAACTAATATAGAGACTGAGTTTAAAATCACTGTAGCTTCCTATTCCTATTCCTTAATTGTTCCCTTGTTACTATTATGTAATAACTTTTTTTATCCCTAATAATGATTTTGCCTTAAAATATATTCTTTTTCCTGGTATTAATAGAGACATGCCAGTTTTGTTTTGTTTTCTAGGTTGCCAGGTACAGCAATTAAGGATGTGTTCAGCTGCACATAACAGAAAACTTGACTATAATTGCTTAACATGGAGGATTCTTTTTTTCTCAGATAACAAGATTGGAGATAGACATGGGTCCATCTGCTTAGGAACTCAGTCTCTTTATATGTTTCTATTTACCATTCACAGTATGCCACTTTTCAGCTTCATTCTTGTTTTCTCCCTATGAGGCTTTGTGGAGGGAAGAGGATAATGAGAACAATCCTTATTATCAGAATTGCATGGTACAATATCCTGTTTTAGCATCTATAGAATCATTGTCCCATGATGGTAAATAGTTTGCTGTTTACACACATTTTATGAAAGTAAAAGTTCTTTAATTAGGAGATGGAATCTTCTATTTCTAGAGCGAGTGATGTGACAGTTACCTTTACCAAATGAAATCACCAGGAAGGAAATGCTTATGCATGCCCATCTTTAGAGTGCTCAACTTTCAGTAAACGAAATATTATTAGTTTACTAGCAAAGCATAATACAATAGATTTCAAAGTATTGATGCTAAGTAAGAATATAGTACAGTTTTAGCAAGTTGAGTTTTTGTATTTAGGAATACATGGTATGTATGTTCTCTGTAGAGATATCATTTTCTACAATTTTTCAGAAGATTGATTAAATTTCAGTGTTTTCCATGAAACTTAACATCACTTTGTACCTTTTGCTGGGGCATTGGCCAGACTATCAGATAGCCCTTCTTACCTAGAAAAGGACCTCAAATTCTCCCTTTCCTTATCCCACTTTGTGAAACCTCTAGTACATCTGATTTCACCTCTAATCTTGCCCTGGACCATTAGGACAGGTCTGTGGAACAACCATAAATAGGTTCTTGTGTTTGTATTTGGAGCCTTCAACATCTACAAAGCAAATTGATCTATTTCTGTTTTGTACTAAAAATTATTAGCATTATATGCTTCTAGTGCTTCCCAGGGGACCCTAGAACAGCATATTGATATGCCTAATGTTTGATTTATGCTAAAAGTTAACAAAGCATTTACCTACATTATTTCATTCAGCCCTCCTTAGTACCAAGAAGAAAAAATATCTGTCTCCATTATAGATAACAAATGGAGCCTTCAGAGCTCAAACTATAAAAGAACATAAGTATTCAAAGCAGAAGAACTTTTGAATAAGGTTTTTTTAAATTTTATTTTTAAGTATTATGGGGGTACAAATGTTTTTTCTTACAAGGATCACTTTTTTAATGCTTGAGTCAGGGTTATAAAGTATGCCCATCACCCAGATAGTGTCCATTGTACCCATTAGGTAGGTTTTTGCCCACCATCTCCTTCTCCCAACCTACCTCCTACCAATTGATTTCCGTTGAGATATACTTTCCTCTGTGCACATGGTGTGCTTGTCAGTTAGTTCCAATTTAATAGTAGATGTGATGTTTTTCTATTCTGTAGATACTTCACTTAGGATAATGGTCTCAAGTTCCATCCATATTGTTGCAAAAGACATTAAGTCATCCTTCATAGCTGTGTATTCTACAGTATACACATACTACATTTTGTTAATCCACTCATGAGTTGATGAGCATTTGGGTTGATTCCACATCTTTGCAGTTGTGAATTGTGCTGCAATAAACATTCATGTGCAGGTGTCTTTTTGATAAAATGACTTTGTTTCCTTTGGGAAAATACACAGTAGTGGGATTGCTGGATCAAATGGTAGGTCTACTTTTAGTTCTTTCAGTAATCTCCGTACTGTTTTTCCATAGAGGTTGTACTAATTTGCAATCCCACCAACAGTGTATAAGCATTCCTTTCTCTCTACTGGCATCTATTGTTTTTGGACTTTTTAATAAAAGCCATTATAACTGGGGTATTTGAATTATTAGGTTAAAGTGTATAAGCAGAGCCTAGGGCTAGATAAATACTTATTGAATGACTACACTCTTAGTTGGCCATTTTCTTTTAAGCACTAAAACTGCTAATCCAATTTTGAAAGCCCTATTGTCATCATTAATCCTTGTCCAACACAATATTGTAGAACAGAAACTAGGTGTCTTTTCACTGCAGGATATGGAAAGTGTTGTTCGTGTGAGATTAAGCATTGTGAACATGTTTTTTCTTTCAGTGAGAGTGTAGTATGTTACTTTATATTGGCCACCTAATAAATTAAGTTCATTACTTAGTCATTAGATTGAAATACATGGATAAGAATTCTTGAGAAGAAAGTTTTTAGAAACTCAGAAGTATTCTATCCCACTATTTTTACAGATTTTTTTTCCTCTGTGACTTCTTTACATTTGACTAAAATTACTCTTGCTGTGGTTGAAGCCCTTTCTCCTCCCCCCCCCCACATCCTCATCAGAAAGAGCTTGTATCTTTCTGATCAACCTTTACAACGTTACATTTGAAAACTCACTTTTCTTTATCTCTACAAAATAATCATCTCAATTTTCTTATTTTTTTCCACACAGATCTTGATTTTCAACTAAGTTATCATAATGTTTCTCTGACCTCTACAGCTCCATCTTAAGTTTGACATTGCTTGTTACTCTTGTAATTATGTGATCATTTCTGTTTACAAACTTGAATTAATTAAATTGAATTTAGTTTTTTTGTGTGTTTTAAGTATCCTAAAATAATCTTTCAGCCATGGAAACAAAGAAGTATTTTCCTGCCGAGGAATAAAATTAGCAGTGGATTGGTTTTTGGAAAGAGGCCACAAAGATGTTACAGTCTTTGTTCCTGCTTGGAGAAAAGAACAATCCCGGCCTGATGCTCTTATCACAGGTAAGCTCATTGCAGGTAGCTGTTTGTTTTTAACTTTCTTATGACACTTATGCAGATATCTGGGCGGTCAAGTATTCCAAATCTATTTGTTTGCTCAATCTGTATGACTATTACATTCTTTTGGGTGGAATGTGAAAGTTGTTTTCAACTTTGAAAACTATATTATTATGTTAACTAAACATTAATCCTTGCTACATAAACCAGGTTTGATTTTTTGTTATTTTTGTGGAACTTTGACTTTAAATTTTGTAAAATTCTGACCTTTAGAGACATGCTAGGAGTCAGGAGACCTAGATTCAAATTCTGGCTTTGCTGTTCATTAGCCATGAAGACTATGAACAACACAATGAACCTCTTTGAACTCCATTTTTCTCATATGCTATATGAAATTAGACTAGGTGGAACTAATACTTAGTCCTTATTAACCTGGATGGAACTAGAGACCATTCTTCTAAGTGAAATGTCACAAGAATGGAAAAACAAACACCACATGTAGTCACCATTAAATTGGAACTAATCGATCAACACTTATATGCACATATGGAAATAACACTCATTGGAAATTAAGCAGGTGTGGGGGGAGGGGATGGGTAAATCCACACGTAACGGGTGCAATGTAATCTGTCTTGGGAATGGGCACACTTATAACTTTGACTCTAATGGTACAAAAGCAATTTATGTAATCAAAACATTTATACCTCTGTAATATTCTAAGAAAAAAAAAAAGACTAGGTGGCAGTCAGACTCTAATGACAGTTCAAAAAAGATTTGTAAGACCCTGGGGTACACTATTAGTCAAGTAAGAAGGCAATGCCCTGATGCCAATAAAATATTTATGTTATTAATATTATAAATTATACATTGTTATATATAATAATTTATAAATATAATTAAAGATACAAAGTATTAAATCTTTGTTAATTTAGCACAAGAATGAATAGGCAAGTAATGGTGAGTCATAAGCCATGGACTCAGAACCTAGACTATATAAACCGTAAAGCAGAGAGGTATATAATTCAACCAGTAGTACCAAAATACTGGGTAATGCTTTTGAAAAAGTATACTTGTTTAATTCCTTATCTTATACCATATAACAATAAATTCCAGATAGTTGAAGAATTATTGTCAAAAGTCAAATCATTAAAGACTACAAATAGTTTTTGAATGGGGGAAGACCTTTCTAAATTTAAAATTTTTTTAAAAAATTACAAATGAAAAAGATATGATTACATCAAAATTTAAGCTTCTGCATTTTGGGGAACTTTGTTAAAAATGAAAATCTACCAGTTGCCAAAGAAAAATGTGCAACAAATAAAGAATCCATATCCTTAACATAAAGATCTCAGATGATAAAACAAACACAAGGCTTTCTCCAGTATAAGAGTAAAATGATAGGAATAGACAACTTCCAAAATAACAACTGTCAAGTAAGTAGGAAAAAAGTGCAGCCTCATTTGTAATTAAAGAAATGCAAATCTGAACAACTGTTATTTTTCACCCATCAAGTTAGTAGATTACAAAATTGACAGTACTCAGTGCCCTGAGGGAGTTACTCACGTACTACTGTCAAAATTGTTGCAACCTGTCAAGAAAACAGTTGGTCTTAAAATATTAATACTCTTGGATCTACTGGTTCCTCTTCTAGGAATAGTCCCAAGAAAATGAGCAGAGATACAGCTGAATATTTTTGACCAGGGACATGTAGCATAATATTATTTTTTAGAATAGAAAAATGGAAACAAAGTATACATTCATTAGAAGAATGGTTCAGTAAATCAGGATGTATTGATATGATAAATAAAATATGCATTAAACTATTTAGGCAGAATTTTTAATGATTTGAGGATATGCTCTTTTACATAAAAGGCAGGTTTTATTATTGTGTGTGTATATATACACACAGACATGTGTGTATATATATCAACAAGGGAAAGAACAAAATACACAGAAAATGACTAGAAGGGAATATGCCAAAATGTTAATAGTAATTGCCTCTGACTTATGGCTTTATGAGGTCTTTATTTCTCCCTTCTTCATAGTACTTTTTCTGTTCTTTCTCCCTTCTTCATAGTACTTTTTCTGTTCTAATTTTCTGCAGGGAACTTAAAATACTTTGATAATTGTGGGGGAGATAAAGTAAACAAAAAAGAAAAAACAGTATTTAAGCATGTAAAGGTCTTGAAAGCTTCTTGTGCATGGAAGGAATATGAGAGCAAGAAAAAGGGAAAATGATACTACACAGTCTGAACTATGGCTGAGTTTATTTTGTCTCCATATGCAGTTTATTTTATAAAATGTCAGAACTAATGTCAGAGGCCTTTAGATGTTATGACCCCAGGATAATAATTCTCTTAACTAAAACCCTCAACCAGATGATACCTAGTAAATTGAATAGTCTAGTACTCTTTCACTGCACTGAAAAAAAAACTTGGTAAGAAATATTTTAAAGTTGTCAGTGCCATAGATTCAGGCTAGTGCTTTTGCCAGTCTTCTATTTATTTAACAAATATTAATAAGCACTAGCCATGTATCAAGTACTGTGCTAAGAACTAGAGATTCAGTTAATTTACTTGTTTTTCTGTACCCATTATTTATTTAAGTTAGGATTATTTATATGTCATCCTAACTAGTGTCTTTTCAACCACATTAGCAGTTAAAGAAATGCAAATTAAGCAAGAGGATGATGACTGTTAGGCCACCACACTTAATCCATCAGTCACTTTGGAGAGGATCAAGGCATATCATATATGAGTAAATGCCCTCACGAATAGTAAAGTACCATGGATCATTCATGAGTAAACTGGAAGACTCCAGAGTGTTTAAGTAGTTCATTTATTCATTCCATAGACTTCCACTGAGCGTCTACTGACATGCCTCGGGGCCTGGGTGCTGATGCGTACGATGATAAATGACACATGATGCCTGACCCTACAGTGTTTATCAGGGATGCACACAAAATTATAATATGACAAAGCCTATGATAGAGGCTAGGGTTTTGATTTTGTATTGGTTTTCTCTGATTTTTAAAAGAGATCAGTAATTACATCTATTAAACAAAATTAAAGAGCACAATTAAGTGGTAAAATGGTAGGAACAGATAACTGTTTGAGAGTTGTTTATTGAGAGCTTGCAGGCACTGTTAGGTGTTTTTTTTTTACCGGTTAACCCAGTTACTTCCCATAGCCTATCAACTATATTTGTGGACTCAAAGAAACAGGCTCAACAAGATTATGATTACCAGATGTAGAAAGTGGTGGAACCTGATATTTATCCATGATTTGCTGATTCTTGTAACAACCACATTTCTTCCACTCATGCTCTGTTGCTTTTCTAAACAGTGTTCTGGTCCTTTGTCAGGAGCATCATCAGTCCATTTGCCAGTAGCTGAGCTGAGCCACATCACTCTTCCATTCCCTCTTCCTGCACACCCAGCTGATATTTCTGCTCTGCCAATTACTACCCTTGCTCACCTAGCTTACATGTTCGTCCAGTGCAGTAAGACAGAGGCCTCTTTAAGGAGAGGTCATTCTTAGTCTTGGTGACCCCTGACACCTAACACAATATATACCACAGAGGAGGCATGTAGTAATTGTCTGTTGAAGAAATAGATTGAAAAAAAAAAGACTAGTAACTCTAGTTAATAAGCACTGAGAAGTATGGAGCTTTTAAAAATAAAATCATGACACCTTTATACTGACACTCTATGCCAGAATTTACAATGGTGGGAAAATAGGGGATGCAGGAGCAAAAATAGGAAGAAGGAATGATTAAAAGAGAATTTTTAGCATTAATCAAAATATGCACTCTAGCACCTTTTTTTAAACCACAAAGCAAGTCAGTAGAGTTACAAAGTGCTGTAAGAGTATGCCCAACAAAGACAAAGATGAGACTCTACCTATCCTTTGTCTATCTGTGGCTGTTTTCCTGCCTAATGACCTCTGATCTCTTGCTCAGTCCGCCCCCACAAGTGTGCTGGTGTTTGTTACCACATGCTTCGTAGGTACGGTAGCCACATCCATAACACCACTCTGACCTCAATGCGTCTGGTTTCTTTGAACTTTCTGCATTTGAAGATTTTTCCCTTTGCTGCCTTGACTACTTCTTTTCAAACTCTCCCACCATCACATCCACTAGGTAGAAGAAAATAACTACAAAACCCACAAACAGACTTGGGAGAAAAAATTCTGTTGCTCACTCCTGAGCCCCACACATGTACTTTGCTGGAATGGCATTGCTGTAGGAGCGTGGAAGACGCTGTGTTCATCGTGGTCATTCTGGTGCCTCCAGCTCTTAAGCAAAAGCTTCATTTAATGAAAATCAGCATTTGCTCAGTCATGTTTGTTTTATGCTGTTTATTTTTTAAACTATTTTTAAATCCTTTATTATTGAAATTCCTGAATAAAAAATGTTATTAGGAGTTATAAATTATACACACTTATAAGCTGTAAATCATAATCCCTAATTAAATGATTACATATATCCAGTTCACATTATAAAAGGTCACATTGTATGAACGTTGTCATGTGAGTTAGGTATGTATTTATTTCTGAAACTCTGCCCTTATTCTTTCAGATCAGGAAATTTTACGTAAATTAGAGAAGGAGAAGATCCTGGTGTTCACGCCGTCCCGGCGAGTCCAGGGGAGGCGAGTGGTGTGCTATGACGACAGGTTCATCGTGAAGCTGGCTTTTGAGTCAGATGGTATAATTGTGTCCAATGATAACTACAGGGATTTGGCTAATGAAAAACCAGAATGGAAGAAGTTCATAGATGAGCGGTTATTAATGTATTCATTTGTTAATGACAAGTAAGTAAAACCATTTACTTGCCAGTGATGTTGCTTCCCTGAAAATGTTAGCTAACTATCCCTGGCGGCTGCTACAGAATCCTTCTCTTTTTGCCACTGACCAGAACTAAAACAAGTTTTTTCCAACAACTGCTTTCCCCACTAATTTTCAATGAGAGTCAGAAAAACTGTAGAATGGTGCTACAGGAGGCCCTGTGTGAGTGGCAGACCCCTGCCCTTCCCTGTAAGTCACTAGCAGAGCACTTGAGGCAGAGGACGTCTTCCAGACTCTCTCCAAGGAACCTATGATAACTGAAAGAGGGAGAATTTCCATCTTCACCCTCGAAAGACTGCCTTTCAAAATCATTGATAACTTACTAAATATGGTCAATGTCACTTAATGACAGGGATAAGTTCTGAGAAATGCATCCTTAGGCAGTTTTGTTGTTGTGTGAACATCACAGAGTGCACTTGCACAAACCTACATGGTCTAGCCTACTGCGCACCTGGTCCACATGGTATAGGCTACAGACCTATACAGCATGTTACTATAATGACTAATGTAGGCAATTGTAAGACACTGGTGAGTATTTGTGTATCTAAACATATCTAAACATGGACAAGGTACAGTAAAAATACACATAAAAGGTGAAAAATGGTACTCCTGTCTAAGATACTTACCATGAATGGAGCTTGTAGGTCTGGAAGTTGCCCTAGGTGCCAGCAAGTGAGTGGTGATTAAATGTGAAGGCCTAGGATGTTACTGTACACTACTGTAGATTTTATGTGCTAGACTTTTGTAAGATTGGCAGTGTAGTAGGTTTGTTTACACCAGTATCGCCATAAACACGAGTAATGTGTTGTGCTGTGACATTACTAGCAATTTTTCAGCTCTGTTATAATCTTAATGACCAAAATGATGTTATGCAGCACATGACTGTACATGATTTTTTTAAGTTGTTATACCAGTGTAAGACTCTAGTCATGATCAGGGTCTGCAAGTTCATGAATGAACAAATGACATGAATAAACATGTCTCATGAGAAATAAAGTCATTTTTAAATATATAGGAAAAGTTCACCTGTTGATAATCAAAAATGAAAACTAAATCTAAAAAGAATATATTTTCTTACTCATTTAATTCACGAAAATATTTTCGTGTTATGCTATTAAGATGCACGTGAACTGATAAACAATTTGGCACAGATTGGCAGAAGCTTCAAGAACATGTGTATTCTGTCAACCCAATAATCTTATTTCTTGGAATATATAATGAGGAATAAAGAAAAACCAGATATGTTCATTTCATATTATCTATAATTACAAGAATTCAAGGGCAACTAAATGTGCAATAGAGAAATCAGTCTAATTGTGCTACATCTCCTATTGGAATATTATTCAGCTGTTCAGAATTATTGTGAAAGCTGTTAAGAAATATGGAAAAATATTTTTATGTTAAAAAGACAAAGCATAAAATTATATTTATGTTCGATTAAAGCCATGTATAATGGTGTGTGCATATGGAAAATGACTTTAAGCCAACACAGACATGGAAAATAATTGTTTTAAGATTGTGAGATTAAGTGACTTTGTCTTCTATTTATTAATGTTTAATGTTGCCATATTGTTTTTGTAATAATAAATACTGTATTTGCAAAGTGTTACTACTGGGCCATCTTGACACTCCTGTTAGAATTCATACATTATTTCTGTTATTCATGTTTTTAGATAAATACTTGGGTTTATTTCAAGTTCAAATAGTAATGTAACAAGGAGTAGAATTCTTCAATCATAACTTCTTTTTGTTATGCATGCCATAAATTCTTTTTTCCTCCACTGAACAGTCAATCCTAAATAATAAGTTTGCTTCCTTAAGATTTTTTCTATCTCAGCTGAGAAGCACTTAAGTACAGTGGGAAGAGAATATACTTTGGAGTCAAGACGTAATTGAATCTTGACTGTGATATGTGATGTTAGTTAAAAATTGCTGAATGCATCTGAACCTAAATTAGAAAAATTTATTAATCTGTAAAATGGAGCTAATGTTTCATGGGATTATTGTTAGGACAGAAGGCAATAGTGTGTGTATAGTGTCTGGCACACAATAAGTGTTGGGGAAGTCTTTGTCTTCCCATAGCATTCCGCCACCTCTCCCTTCTCTTCCTCAGCTGCCCCCTCACGCCCAGTGTTCCCACTACCCACAAGACCCATGTTTATAAAGCTCTCCTAAAATGTCACTGCAATAGTTTTCTAAAATCCTTGCAAAATCCCAAGACTGAGAGGAAGGAAGAATTAATTAGAACATGTTAGACTCAAACTTAACTTGAATTAAAACAAATATAATTTTGGTTTCAAACAGTTTAATTTTGTTTTTATTAAGGAGAGTGAACTTCATGCACTGATATTTTTATCCTATAAATGTTGAATCAGAACACTTGGATTAAAATTTTAAAAAACTACCTTAGAGTAAATAAATCTTTGTACTCCGTTTTTAGAATTAAATGACTGACCTTCTGCTTAGGTGTCATTTTTTATTATCTCTGTGACAGGTTCATGCCTCCTGATGACCCTCTTGGCAGACACGGCCCCAGTCTGGATAATTTTCTGAGGAAGAAACCTATTGTTCCTGAACACAAAAAGCAGCCTTGTCCATATGGTAACTTTCTTTGTGAATATTTAGTATATGCCTATAGAACACAATATATTGTTAAAACTTTTGTTAATAAAAATAAGCATTTATAATTTTGAGCGGTATGGTATACAGTTCTTTGCTTGTAATTAAATTTAAGAAAATGTCTTAGCCATGAAAAAGAATTATTTTTACCTATTTGGGTTCAAAACAAAGGCATTTCCCTGAATTAAAACCTAGTTCAAAATACACAGTTAATTCTACATGAAGTTAGTTTTCAGGTGCATAAAAATTTGGAATTCTTCCATCTAGATACAAATCAGATGAGCATGGTTTTATCACATTACAACAGTACATGTTGCTTTGCAAAACAAAATTTCCTACCTGATTATTAAGTCCTACTGAAAGAGAAGAGGCAATTATGAGTTGAGAATATGGGATATTAGCCAAAAACTCTGGAAATGATTATTAATCATTTGGCTGACTTTCTTGCTGCACTTGATAATAAGGAAGTAAGTAGACTAAAAAGTAACATTTCTCAAGATTAAAGAACAGAGTAATGCTTAGCATATCTCCCATTTCTGCCTTTGTTTCTTTCACAAGTTAAAATAACAGTGCCAAACTGAATGCTTTTTTCAGGATCTGATGTTATATTACTTTACCTAATTAATTTTGCTTTTCGTAGGAAAGAAGTGTACCTATGGACACAAGTGCAAATATTACCATCCCGAAAGGGGCAGTCAGCCTCAGCGGTCGGTGGCTGATGAACTTCGTGCCATGTCTAGAAATACAGCAGCCAAAACTGCAAATGAAGGAGGACTGGTGAAAAGCAACAGTGTTCCTTGTAGCACTAAGGCTGATAGCACTTCTGATGTGAAACGAGGTGCTCCAAAGAGGCAATCAGATCCAAGCATAAGGACTCAAGTCTACCAAGACCTAGAAGAAAAGCTTCCCACCAAAAACAAATTGGAAACCAGGTCTGTACCTTCCTTAGTTAGTATACCGGCTACTTCTACTGCAAAACCCCAAAGCACTACATCTTTAAGCAATGGCCTTCCATCTGGAGTTCATTTCCCACCTCAGGATCAAAGACCACAGGGACAATATCCTCCAATGATGATGGCAACCAAAAATCATGGAACGCCAATGCCTTATGAACAGTATCCAAAATGCGACTCGCCTGTTGACATTGGATATTACTCCATGTTGAATGCATATTCAAATATGAGTATCTCAGGCCCACGAAGTCCTGAAAGGCGTTTCTCATTAGACACAGATTATAGAATAAGTTCTGTAGCTTCTGACTGCAGCAGTGAAGGGAGCATGAGCTGCGGGAGCAGTGACTCCTATGTGGGGTACAATGACCGGTCCTACATCAGCTCTCCCGACCCGCAGCTAGAAGAGAATTTGAAGTGTCAACACATGCACCCTCACAGCCGCCTTAATTCCCAACCCTTCCTGCAGAATTTCCACGACCCCTTAACCAGAGTGCAAAGTTACAGTCACGAAGAACCAAAGTTCCATCACAAGCCTCCTCTTCCACACTTGGCTATGCATCTACAGCACCCCGCTGTGGGCGCCCGGTCCAGCTGTCCCGGTGATTACCCCTCTCCACCAAGCTCAGCACACTCTAAGGCACCACACCTAGGCAGGTCCCTAGTGGCCACTAGAATAGACAGCATTTCTGATTCTCGCCTCTATGACAGTTCTCCTTCAAGACAAAGGAAGCCTTATTCCCGCCAGGAAGGGATGGGGAGCTGGGATAGGCCAAGTTACGGGATGGATGCGTATGGATATCGGCAGACTTACTCGTTGCCTGATAACTCCACACAGCCATGTTACGAGCAGTTCACCTTCCAGAGCCTACCTGAACAGCAAGAGCCGACTTGGCGGATTCCGTACTGTGGAATGCCACAAGATCCTCCAAGGTACCAAGATAACCGAGAAAAGATTTATGTCAACTTGTGCAACATCTTCCCACCCGACCTTGTGAGAATTGTCATGAAAAGGAATCCTCACATGACAGATGCCCAGCAGCTCGCTGCAGCCATTTTAGTGGAGAAATCACAGCTGGGTTATTGAAAGATGATGCATCTTTGTGGTGTTTAGTAGTTTTTTGTTCAGCTCAAATGCTGAGGGAGGTTTGCTACAATAGCACATGTGATCTCCTTCTCAGCAAGGAGGTCATATAGTATCCATTTATGTGAAATACTGTATCATGGAATCTGTATGTATAGCCCCACATGGTGGAAGTATCACGGGATTGCTTTACATTTAAACTTTTTTTTAACATTTCCTTTTTAAAGCTATATCCTTGGCTGGAAATTTTTCCAGTTTGATTTAATAGATGTATCTGTGATCTTTGATAATAATCTTTGGTGCATCAGGGGTTTATATGCAGCACTTTTTATCCTTGTTTCATGTTTTATTAACTTGGTGTTTGTCTATCAACTGCAAGCAATTACAGTACCTTCAGAATGTGGAGCATTTGACTAGACCTAGCAAACTATTTTTTCAAGCCAAGCTTAATTAGACTCTTTTACAGCTTTTTAAGTTATTTTTATTTGGGAAAGGTGGGCTTCTTTGTGCTATAATCATTATTTATAGAAACAAAGATATACTACAGCACTGACTTTATATTTTAAACAAAATTTAAGTTACCAGTTTATGTTGAAATGGGTAACAGTATATATTAGAATGATCTACAGTATGGCACTTTTCATTGTGTTATTTTTGTTTGGATTTTCTTTCTGTTAAGAAATTAGTTAATTTAATATGGTCGATTTAAAAGAAAGCAGATGCAATCAATGGAAAAATTGTTTCCATTTTTTTTTTTTTATGTATAAGGCAAAAGCCGTAACTACTACAGGTTAGAGTTTTGTTATCCAGCTATGATGTGCTTCTAGACAGCAGAAATGGAATTGAATTCCTAGATTTCCATTAACCTGTATTTTTAATATATCTGTCTTTTTGTTTTGGGGCACAATACTGGATAAAATAACCCTTTCACAGTACTTGCCTGATTTTAATGAATCTAATTATTCTCAATGCAACTTTTATATTTAATAGACTCTTTAGCTTTTCTGCTGTTTATCAAGGCTGGCCTGAGATGGTTTTATGTGTTGAGCATATGCAACATTTATTGATACTGCACTATAAAAATGGTGATGGAGGAGTTGTGAATGGTAACTTAAAATTTTTGTAAGATATTGTATATTTTCCATTTTCCTGAAGGTAGTTTTTTTTGGGGGAGGGGAGGGCCTGTTATATTATTAAGGCCAGATTCTTGCCACAAATAGTGTAGTTTTAGATACAGACTAAAGTCTGTTCTAGTATTAGTAAGGGATATTTCTGGTTTCAAAGTCATGGGTTTTGCTAGCTACAAATGCATTTATGTGGATTAGAAGACAGGTTTTGCAGTCAGTGGCAGACAGTTGTGTGATTGACAGAACTTGACTGTTGCCTCCAGATTTTGGGTTTTACTCAGTGTAATAGACACATTCAGATTTGTTTCTGTAGTCTGCCTAGACTCTCTGGTTATTCTGATTATTCTACATGCTACAGTTTGAAGTAAAGCCCTGAAAAACCAGAAAGTACCTTTTACTGTTGATACAAATTGTATCTTTTTAACTATAAGAACTATTTTGATTTGTAGATCTAGTTAAAACACAAGTGTGTAACTATGATTAGACTTTTGGGCAACATTTTATCCCTTATTTAAATACAGATTTTTAAAGTAAAATTGAGGTCTAGAATAGGTTAGAAAATAAAAGTAACAATTTAGGTAAATAAAAGTGTCTGTCTTAGTTTTATATAATATATTAAAACATATTAAATAAGTTTATTGGCATTTTCTTTCTCCTAAAACTTATCTAGTGTGAACTTAAAATAAAGGTAAAATGCTGCCTGAAAATAATGTCCAAGCACCTTTGACTAGGATAACATTTTCACTACTTGTGTGACACCGTGTGTTGCATGAAGTAGGATTTGGGTATACAGTAAATGCTTCTAAAAGGCATTGTGCATATTGACATATCCAATAATCTGAACCGTGTTCAGCAAACTTAATTCAGGAGAGTGGTGTTCTACACAGTTACTGCTGTTGTATTTGAAATGAATTTGGTACTCATCTGTACCCAGAAATAATACAGATGATGCCACACAAACCATTCTGAGTGGTGCCTGAGAGCAACCCTACTCACTTGTGAAATTGTTCTCCTTGATTTTGTTGGTCACTATTTATAGGACAAGTTTAAATGTGGAGGCTAACCCAGTGCCAAAAATAAGATTACAAATGTGTGATACCTCTTACTTTAGTTATGTTCTAAGACTTTTTTAGTATGAAATCACTTTTAAATTATACATGTAGGTTTTGCTTCCATTTTCTTCACTTTAGCATCTTAGGTGTTTGAAGGTCTGCCAAACTTTACTAAATTTATTTAAATGAAATCGTAGGTGAAATGTATATGACATTTTTAATTTGACCTTCTAGTATTTTTAGATGACTATATGTCATTGTTTCATGGATTTTAAACTGTGGAAAAATAGTGTAGCCAGCTGCCACCTATCCTGAAGTGAATAGCTCTGAACTACCCACACTGAAATCCTTCAGTATGATTAATTATGAGTTTTTTTAAAATAGCAGTTTTCTGATGTCAAGAGGACAGTTTGTCCCCTTTGTTTTGAAGCACCAGTGTTGCTTCCAGAGCTTAAGAGTGAGATAATTGGCAGACAAATTTAGCATTTGTACAGCAAATCTGTGTTTATCTAAAGCAATAAATAAAAGGAGTCCATCATTAAATTAAATCCGTAACTGGTAACAAACCTTCATTTTAGCCAAAAATTTCTCCTTATTCAAATCTTTTACCAGACTTGCTAATAAATAGCGAAAAAGAGGTGTGTTAATAAGTGAAATTGCCAGACACGGTCAACTGATAGACAAAAAAGATTCAGACTGCAATATTTTGCCCCTGAATAATTGACAGTTGACTGTACTTTTACACAATAATTAGCCAGTCTGTTGTCTCTGTGTCTTAGTCCAGAGGGAATAGTACCCAACTGGCCACATTCTGGCCCTTAGTATTTCTTCCTTTACTGCATGTGATCCAGATGTTTTCAGTCTCGTTTTTATGATCTCTTTATCCTGATCGAGTTTGTCATTGACCTAAACATTTAGAAGAAACACACACCGGTATAAAATATTTGATACTGGTGGAAACTTGAACTTTGTGTTTTTATGAAAATTCATTTATGAGAATATGTAATATAACTAAAAAGTATTTTATATATATATATACACACATGTGGATATTTGTTATGAGGTATTAAAAATGGGGGGGGTGCTTTTGATGGCTAACTTTTGCCTGATTGAACTATGTTTCTTTGAGTTGTAGATGACCAAGTACAGGGTCTAGATGGCCAATAATATTTAGAACTACTTGAATGGAAAGCAGTTCTTCACTGGTTTTATTCTTGGTATTTTTAAAGAATTATTTTGATAATTTTAATAGAATGTGTAATTTTAAAATACACAAAAAAACTTAAGGTAGTATTGATTATACAAATTATTTAACATGTCTTTTATGGATGTATCTATATGTATATAGACAGTAATATATTTATAAAACAAATATACTTTATGTTATAGCTGTTCATGACAGGTGGGAGGATGGAGTGGTGTGTGTGTGTGTGTGTGTGTGTGTGTGTGTGTGTGTGTGTGTGTGTTTTGAAAACAAGCTGTTTTCCCTCCTCTGATTTAATGGTATTTACTCTAAAGTATATTTGGTTTTTATTATTCTTTTTTCTATCAAACTCCCTTAGTCAAAATAGAATAAGATGTAAAGTTTTATGGCCATTCTCTTGATGTGTGGCTGATCCATTTTCTTATCATCCAACTCCTGGAGAATTCCTGAGTGACCCCAAAACAAACAGGTTATGGCTACAGATAACGCTTCTGTTCCAAGTATATTAAAGATGAAAACTCAGCCAAAATGTCAGGTTTCCAAGGTATACACCAACAAATAAAATGAAGTATTAAAAAAAAAATGGATTTCACACATGCATGAGAATAACAGAAAACAGAATGTTAATAAAAGAAACAAAACACACATTATTATAGATCCATTTAAGACAATCTCCTAGGGTGGGGATTGACAGACTTTTTCTGTAGAGGATCAGAGAGTAAGTAATTCAGGCTTTGAGAATCATATGGTCTTAAAAACCACTTACCTCTGCCTCTGTAGCATAAAAGCAGCCATAGATAATATGTAAATGAACCAGTATGGCTGTAATTCAATAAAAGTTTATTTACAGAAACAGACAGCAAGGCCAGATTTGGCCTGTGGGCCATAGTTTTCTGATCCCTGCCCTAGAGGGAGAAAAATGGGCATTTTAAATAGTAAATCTTGCTGTACGTTAATAGAAGAAATAATAATTGTATTTCAGTTGACATTCAAAGAAAATCTGATAGTTATTGATATCCTTCAAAAGAAGATTGTGAGACAGTCATACTAAAACATCTTAATTCACTTATGTTTGTTTATCTGATGACACTCATTTATTAGAGATATTTCTTGTGTTTAACCACCCCAAAAAAAAAAGAACCGTTTTGTCAAAAGTTGTTATAATAAATATTTAAATTTTTCATGAACTTTTCATTTCTATTGATAAATGGGAATCTCTTACTGACCTTTTGTTTTTTCGTGGCCTCGTGAACCAAAAAATCTGTTGTATTTTGAAAATTGGCATATAATTAACCACAAAAATTTTAAAGACTGCATTTATCAGTTACATTTTTCTATTGGTTTGGCTTCTAATAAATGACAGATCTACCCTCTTAAAAAATGGTTTTAAATGGTTTTAAAGAAGATAAATATATTATAATTTCACATACTATAGCTTTATTCTGTAAGATTAAAAATTGTGACTAGTATAATTGTAGCTATAACGTGAGTGTATTTGTTACATTGTGACTCTTTATAAGAAACAAAGTGTATCCCTGCTTTCTCCATCCAAATCTTTAGTATAGATTTTTTAGATGCCTTGGAACTGTCCGTGGTGAATGATAATCTTAATATGATCATGTGTAATTTTTAATTCATCGGAAGTACACACTGCTGAGCATGTTTATTCATGGCGATTTATAGATGGTGTCACATCAATAACATCACTTTCGTAAGAAGATTACATAGTTGTTAACCTCACTATCCACTCAAGTATTATACTATCTTTTAAAATTGGAATACAACTCTAGTTTTAAACAATGCTTATTGTTTTAAATATTACTTAATTTTTTTCTCTAATGCTTTCTGTTAACTTGCTAATTACTCCTGTTACGGTAATACTGTTATGTATTAGAAGTGGCTTTTTCCCTAAAATCCTTAGTCTTTCAGATTTAAAGACGATTTAAGGTTTTGACCATTTGGCAGTAGAAAATATCTGTGCATGTTTCCATTTAGTTTTATGAAATCTGTAAAGTTTCACTCCTTAAACCATGTACCAAATTTGCCAATTTTCTGTCCAAGTATTTCAGGTGAATAACAAAATGTTGTCCATTAAAGCTTGCCACCTTTCTTAAAGCGGCTGTGTCCCAAGGAAAAAAGATATTAAAGAGAAATGGTTTGTTTTTATAAAAAATATGTTTTAGGTTTCCTTCCGTTTTTTGAAATTATAAATTTCCTAATATGAAATGTCCACAAACATGCAAACTTCTGCAGAGACATGGCACTTCGTTGCAAGTATGCCAGATTATTTATTTTATTTTTTTCCCCCAAACCATAGTTATATGCTGATAGTAGAATTTCTGATTTGATCCTGTAAACTTTTCTTACAGGAAAAGTAAGGCAAAGAATACTTTTAGACCAACCATCTGAAAAACTGACGTGATTCTATTTATCTTCTGTCTGTTCTGTGTGTTTCTGTAATGGAATTTTTATAATTCCAAAAGCAGTATTTTAGACCTACTGGAAATCCATATCAAAACAGCTATGTGATTCTGCCACTGAGAAAAAAAAAATTAAAAAAAATTTCATTTTTCTTATGATGGTTTGTTTTTGTTTCACAAAGAAATTGACCTCCTATGGCAGCATAGATGCTAAATAAATAAACGTATCATCCTTCTCTAGTTGCCTGCATTCAGTGGTTAATACCATTATGAGCATTCCATGGGATAAGTGCATGTTCGGTATCAATGTGTGAGAGCCATACTTTATTCCTTTGGGAAGTGAATTAAATGTCAAAGACAACGAGTCATAACTTAAGCCATCATGAGAGTGTTTTTTTCCTAATCTGTCATTATGGTGTTTGTTTCTGGTGGTTTTGAAGTTTCATCAGGTGTCTGGCTAAGACAGTGACTGTTGGCAGGGACCTCATCCAGTGAGTTTATAAAAAATGCTAGATGGCATGGGTGTCCTCTCTCTTGATTATGAGAACTGCCCTATAATTTAAAAGTGTTGAAAAGATTCGTCTTGGTGGGATGGTGTGTACTAGGATTGTACACTACCTTTGAGCACTGATATGAGTGACACCCCAAGAGGTGCTGGGATACAGAGAAAGAGGATTGGCACATCACCCTTCAGAGTTCACCTTCTTGTAGTCAGGCTGGAATCTACAGGGCAACATGGTCAATAGGAATAAGGATTTAAAAAAAAAAAAAAAGATTGAACAGATCTTAATGAACAGAAATGGAAATTTTTACCCCTTTGATAATTGAGGCTAAAAACTTGGGTCACTGTGGGGAAGTGTTCTGCTTCGGAGAAATACCTGCACAGATTGGGAGAGATTGCAGACAGCTGTCAGGCACTCAAGGGTTGGGTTTGGGTCCTAGTCTGCACGTATTACTATGGTAACTACACATATATATGACACACAGTATGTAGAATTTGGGCAAATCTTTCAGAGTCTTCTGCAAGTGTAGTTGTGAAACGGTGTGAGTGACCATCTCACAGGCTTATTGTCACCAAGCATATGACAGTGATGGTGATGGTGGGCATGAGGCTAATTCAAGGACAGATGCAAATAAACACAATGCTACTACATACACCCCATTCTTGCTGCAGTAAAACAGGAATCTTTGCTTATTCCCTTCTGTTCTAGAAAGCAGTGTTTTCCTGACCCAGTTTTTCTCCTAATCTTCTGTCAGCAAAAATACTCTATGTCAGATGTAGTCACAGTATTGAAGTGTTCTAATGATCTTCATGATTTAGCATACTCATGTGCTATGTCAGAGTATTAAAAAAAAACAAAAACAGTTTATGTCAGAGAGCAGCTTTTCCACCTACATTGCTTTTTAGACCTTTTCTTCTTGTTTTCCCCTAAAATTGCTATTCACCATTGTCAGGTATTCTTTTTTTTCCCCACTTAATTATCTTAAACTGTCTAACTGGGATTTAGACTATTTTGGTCGTGTCAGCAGATTTGATCATTGGTGTTTTGTTGTTGGCAGAGGAGTCAGGGCTGGGAGGGAGGGCCTGCTCGGGAGCCTCCGCGGGCTGCATTCGGTTAGGCCGCCATGGCAACTGAAGCTAGCACTTCATTTCTCCTCCACCTAATACCATTGGCTAAAAAGAAAGGGTTAACACACAGTGATGAATTCAGTAATGTCTGGGAAGGGGAGAGTTGTAAAAAGCAACTATAGTGGTGAATTGTTCAAAAGAACCCTAACCTAATTGAAACTGCAATTCTACATGTTATTTCCACAGTCCAGTAATTTATTTTAAATTTGAGTAATTTCAAATTCCACAAAACAAAACCGAAGAACAGCAATATTTTGTTTGAATTTCTCTCTTGTGTGCACTCCGTGATCTAAAACACCACAATATCCAACATACACAAACCTCGGGGAAGGGTTAGTACACACAAGCTTGGAATCATGGTGCTCTTTGTTCCTGAATGGAGTGGTCCCACAGAAAAAGCACAGGATACAGCACAGCATAAGGGCACCTGTTAAACATGAGTTGAGCAAAACACTAGCATTAGTTAGAGGCATGTACTTGTTAGCGTTTGTACCTCAGCCTCTGCTGCCGTTTTAGAGTTAATGGTTTTCACTTTTCTTTTTAAAGGTTTAAAAGGGTTTTTTAAAGACATTTTCATGGTTTCCTTTTTTTGAGATTTTAAAGATAACCTTTTAAAAAAATGTATTCCTCTGCATGTATAGTCATCACCCTTGGGTTAAGAGTGAGAACCCCAGCTCCACATATCCTAGATGTAGCAGATTGGCAAATTACTAAAACGGTAGTAATTGCCCCGTCTCCTAAGGTTGTTAAGATTAAATGAGTTGAAACAAATAAAACCCTTTGAACATGCCAATCCATAGAGTGTGTTCAATAAGTGACAGCCATTGTGTAAATAACTACGGGGTATTTAAGTACATAATAATTTTCAGATGTGCTCATTACAACCTTCCCTATCTACTCTGTGGAAGAGTTTGAATTGTAACAATTGATGCAATTTGATATATTCAATGATGAGGTCTGTTTCACGAGGGACATTTTAACCTTCAAAGAGTCCTTGGAACCCATTTCCTTGCTACCCCCATCACTTGCTCTTCGTGGTTTCAGGGTTTTTTCCATGTATCATAATAGGGAAATAAGTGGAATAGCAAACAATGACTCCAGATTCCAGAATGTCTTAGGTAGTTTCCGGACTGCATTACTAACATCTCTGAACTCCACTTTCACTCTTGAAGGTGGCGCTCAGCAAACCTGTCCCCACCTCTTCTCCCCACCCTGCGCACACACACACACCCCAACCTAAGTGAAAGGGGAGGTCCGTCCCTTACTGTATGAATCTAGGGAGCCCTCTGGACAGAACAATAGGCACTCTGTGGCCTCAGGTAGATGCACATTTCTGGGGAGGTGTCAGGTGACACTGGGTGATTGCTTTTCTCCTTAAGCATTTCCTCCTAGTTGATAACTGCTGCTCTCAAAGTTGGAGGGAGAGGGCAGGGCTGCCAGGGAGACTATGCACGTTTGAGAGTCCAGTACTATGTATTTACATAAGTTAAAGTCCTATGAAGCCAGCATTGTTCCTATTTTAGAAATGTGAAAACTAATACTCAGGTTAAAGCACTTGCTCAAAGGCAACCCCATGGTTTGAATCGTCTCTACGTGCTTCCGAAATTCTTTTTCCCACTTCCCTGTGCTGCAGGGCAGTACAAGCGATAGAGCCCTGATCGTCCTTGGTTTGAGTTTTTCTACTAAAGCGTAGGTCTGAGGATTGAAAAGCCTGTGATACTAGAACCGCACATACTTAAACATACTGTGGCTTTAGGGAAAATGTGAATTAGAGCTTGTCTACTTCCGTGAACCCCCGCACCTTCAGCACTCTGCTTTCATGTATAGAGAGTTAAGACAAAGAAGTCACTTGGACTAGAGGAAGAGGTTTCCCAGAGACCTGCCTGTCCTGAGGCTTGTGATGATGGGCCTGGCCCAGGACTCAAGCCAGCTGACTGGGGCTCAGTGTTCGGGGCCTGCTGCCTCTAACAAGCAAGACTGCTTGGTTCTGTGTCTAAAGGAGGTTATTCTAGAGTCTGGGCTCCTGTCCCCTCTCCTTAGCATTCTTTGTAGTTGGAGAGAATAAAAGGCAGTACA